ATAACACTCAAAAGGACAAATGGTCCCTTAATGAGCTTATATCTCACTGTGTGCAAGAGGAAGAGAGAGTGCAGAGAGATAGGGTTGAAAGTGCTCATTTGGCCTCGAATGCTCAAAGCAAGAAGAGAAAGGGACCTAAGGTCACTGCGGTTGATGCTTCCACGCAGAAGAAGCAACAGATAGAACCTGAGGAATCGACATGCTACTTCTGCAAGCAGTCGAGGCATATAAAGAAAGATTGCTCCAAGTACGCTGCATGGCGTGTTAAGAAGGGTATATCTATAACTTTAGTTTGTTCTGAAGTTAATTTATCCTTTGTACCTAAAGATAATTGGTGGGTAGATTCGGGAGCTACTACTCATATAAGTATGTCTTTGCAGGGTTGCCTGTGGAGCCGATTGCCAAGTGATGCTGAAAGATTCATCTTTGTGGGTGATGGAAATAAAGTTGCAGTAGAGGCTATTGGAACCTTTAGACTGCATTTAAAGAGTGGTTGTTATTTAGATTGTTTGAGACATTTGTCGTACCGTCGTTTAGACGAAATTTGGTTTCTATTTCCGTTTTGGATAAATTGGGATTTTCCTGGTCTTTTGGAAATAATAAAGTTAGTCTCTTTCAAAATTCTAATTTTGTTGGTGATGGCTCTTTAATTGATAATCTTTATATGCTTGATCTTGTAAGTTGCAACAATGCCATTCTACAAACTTCTTCAAGAGGTACAAAGAGAAAATTTTATGGGGATTCTGTCATTTTATGGCATAAGCGATTACGCCATATCTCTAAACAAAGAATACAAAGGCTTATATCTGATGGAATCCTCGATCCCTTAGATCTTCCAGACTTTCAAGTTTGTGTTGAATGTATCAAAGGAAAACAAACTAATACGAGGAAATTCGAACGAGCTAAGGAAGTCTTAGAACTTATTCACACTGACATATGCGGTCCTTTCCCTACGGCTTCTTGGAATGGACAATGCATTTCATTACTTTCATAGACGATTACTCTCGTTTTGGCTACCTATATTTGATTCATGAGAAATCCCAATCATCGGACGTTTTCAAGTCTTTCAAAGCCGAAGTAGAACTCCAACTTGGGAAGAAAATTAAGGCTGTCAGTTCAGATCGTGGAGGTGAATACTACAGCCGATTTGATGGATCAGGAGAACAGCGTCCAGGACCTTCGCACTTTTCCTCAAAGAGTGTGGAATCGTTCCGCAATATACAATTCCTGGGTCACCTCGCATGAATGGTGTTGTCAAACGACGAAACCGAACTCTTAAGGATATGGTAAGAAGTATGATTAGTCATTCTTCTCTACCGGAGTGGGGAGAAGCATTAAAGACCGCAGTGTATATTCTCAATCGAGTACCAAGCAAATCAGTTAACAAAACCTCTTACGAACTCCGGATAAGCAAGAAACCTAGAATTAGGCACTTGCACATATGTGGTTGTCCAGTTGAGGCGCGACCTTATAGGCCGCATGAAGGAAAACTGGACTCAAGAACAGTTAGCTGTTATTTTGTTGGTTACTCTGAGCACTCACGGGGATATAAGTTTTACCACCCCACATCGAGAACTTTTTTTGAGACGGGAAATGCCAAATTTCTTGAGGATATTGAGTTTGGGAGGGAAGAGGTCATAAAGAATGTTGTCTTTGAAGAAGAATCCAGAGTTGACAATGATTTGGTTTCTTTACCTATCGTTGTTCAAGATACAACTCCGATAATTGAGAACAATGTTGGGACTCCTGTTGAAAACATTGTTCCAAATCAAGACAACATTGAGATCATTCCTCCATTGGTTGTGGATCAAACTCAACAACCTCAAGAGGTGCCACTAAGGAGATCCAGTAGAGAGAGGAGAAACGCTATTTCCAATGACTATATAGTATTTCTCCAAGAACATGAGGATGGCGTTGGTTTGACTGAGGATGACCCAGTCACAATTGGTAAAGCCATGTGTATTTCTAACTCCCAAAAGTGGATTAACGCCATGAATGATGAGATGAAGTATATGAGTGATAATGACATTTGGGATCTTGTCGAATTGCCTAAAGGTGCGAAACCTATTGGTTATAAATGGATATTTAAAACCAAAAGGGATTCTCAAGGCAATATCGAAAGATATACGGCTCGTCTAGTCGCCAAAGGTTTCACTCAAAGAGAAGGAGTTGACTACAAAGAGACTTTCTCTCCGGTTTCGTCGAAAGACTCTTTTAGGACCATTATGGCACTTGTAGCTCATTTTGATTTAGAGCTACACCAGATGGATGTAAAGACTGCCTTTGTTAATGGTGATATTGAGGAAACAATTTATATGAAGCAGCCTGACAACTTTGTGTCTGGAGACCCAAAGTCTATGGTATGCAAACTGAAGAAATCCATCTAAGGTCTTAAGCAGGCATCTAGTCAATGGTATCATAAGTTTCATCAAGTCATTACCTCTTTTGGCTTCGAGGTAAATGTCGTTGATGACTGTGTACACTATAAGTTCAGTGGGAGTAAATATGTCTTTTTGGTTTTATATGTCGATGATATTCTTCTAGCGAGCAATGATATAGGCTTATTGCACGAAACTAAGAGATTTCTGACGAAGAAATTCAAAATGAAAGATCTTGGTGACGCCTCTTTTGTATTAGGGATCCAAATACTAAGAGATCGTTCTCAAGGTATTCTTGGATTATCACAAAAGAGCTATGTCGATATGGTTTTGGGAAGATTCGGCATGAAAGGTAGCAAACCACTTGACACCCCTGTGTCTAAGGGAGAGAAATTTAGTCTCAAGCAGTGTCTCAATAATGATCATGAGAAAATTGAGATGCAACAGATTCGTTATGCTTCGGCAGTAGGAAGTCTTATGTATGCTCAAGTATGTACTCGTCCTGATATAGCATTTATAGTGGGAGTCTTGGGTAGATATTTGAGGAATCCAGGAGAGCAACATTGGAAAGCAACCAAACGTGTAATGCTTTATCTAAAGAGAACAATGGATTACATGCTCACTTATCGGAGGTCGGAGAGCTTGGAGATCGTTGGATACTCTGACTCCGATTTTGCTGGATGTCAAGATAACAAGTGCTCTACATCAGGATATGTGTTTACGTTGGCTGGAGGGGCTATTTCTTGGAAGTCTGCAAAACAGACTCTCGTAGCCTCATCTACCATGGCGGCGGAGTTCATTGCTTGCTATGAAACGTCCAATCATGCGATATGGCTGCGAAATTTTGTCACTAAGTTGCGTATAGTGGATGGCATTGAGAGGCCGCTGAGGATATATTGTGACAATAATTCAGCCGTGCTTTACTCCAATAACAACAGAAGTTCTGTGAAGTCAAAATTCATTGACATAAAGTTTCTTGTTGTTAAGGAGAGGGTTCAAAATAGGCAAATTTCTATAGAACACATAGGAACAGACAATATATTAGCAGATCCACTAACTAAGGCATTAACACCTAAAATGTTTCATGAGCATACTACTCATATGGGTGTTGTTTCCGATGTTGCCCTAGTTTAGTGGGAGTTTATGTTCTATGTGTTGAACTTCAGTATGGATTGTTTGGTTTTCTGCAGAATAAAGTGATGGTTTTGATTTCATTTTGAACTCGCTTAAGTTATTTTTCCATATTGTGTTATATACATTATGGATTGATCTCCATAAAGAGTAAAGTTGGACCAATTGGAAATAGACATGTTAAAGATCACATTGCATGTAATTTTCATGCCACTCGCCATATTTGATCTATGTCATTGAGTGTACTAGTATGGTGACTTCCGGGGTTTATCCACGATTTGTAATGTGGTGAAAGCCGCGGTAGTTTCATTGCTAGTATATGAGATGGACCAGATTGTTTAAGGTAGTCTGAATATGAATAGCGTAAAGTTGCGCAATTAAGGAATAAATATAATTGTTCAGGAAATAATATGTAGCCCAAGTGGGAGATTGTTAGGAAATATTTATTTTCTATGTATAATCTAATTATGGGCAACATATTAAATACAATTATATTATATTAGCTATTCAATTAATTAATGGACTCAATTAAGTGATCTAAATTAAGTAGAGTTCATGGGCTACATAAATTGATATGGACTTAATGAGTGGATACCTAATATTACTAGGGTTAGGTGATAATGGGTGGCCTACCCTATTAGTATATATAGACCCTCTTGGTTATGGTCCCCAACACACTAAATCAAACACAGTTTTCTTTTCTCCCCATCTGAAAGAAGACGACGGTCCCATCTGAGGAATAAGGCGATTTAGTTGAGGAAGGCCATAATACCAGTTGATCCAATTAATCAATCGAGTTCGTGTTCCGCAAAAGAAACTCAATGGATTCAGGTATTTCTAATAATCTTTCAGATCTAGAGCGATGTTGATTTTCCTAGAACTAAAGCATGCTCTAGGATAATTGTTATTGAATTTATATTATGTGATAATAAATTCCTACAGATACAACTCATTAACCTAGGCAGCTGTACAAGGTTCCTATATATATATATGCTCTAACAAATCGATACCTTAGGATCTTGATCTAAGGGCTGAGAAAGAAATCAAAAAAAGACAAAAAATATAATGGGACATATGCCATGTATGCATGTGACTCACCATGCATACATCCAAAAAAGCAGAAGAGAAATAAGATAAAGAAAGATAAACTAGTTTTTACTAAAGCTGTGACCGAATATATGCTATTACTAATAATAAAATAATACATATAATATAATATAAATAGATATCAATGCATGTGGAAAAGATATTGTTACGCTTACGTACATGCTTGAATATAGATACAAAATTATTCGTCAATCAATAATCATGGAGTTGCAATAATTGGAGGAAAATTATTTATCATCAAGACACCCACTACACGCATTCCCACTCGCATAAATTCCACGAAAAAA